GCATCCCCAGGACGGCAAGTCATCTACTATCAGACCACTCACCCTGGTCTTGCTTGGAGAGCACCAAGGGCCAGACCTGCAGTGACCTGTGTGAAATCCTGGGCAGCGTTTTCCACAGTGGATTCTGAATGCAATGCTGACAAGTGCCCTGTGACAACTAAACTGCCTTTTCTGATATCCACAATTTCCATTAACGTAATAGAGACTTTAATTCTGGCAGAAAGAGACAGTTGTCTAGCCCATTGAGCTCCAAACTCTATTTGAGAGTAGATCACTCTATTTTGGTGTGGAACACAACCCATGCACATCCTGCAAAGCTCATCCCCTTCCAGCTTGAAAATGTCTGCTCTAAACTAGTCTAAATTTCTCTACCAATGATGTTTCCAGAGAAGAATTGCCCAAGGAAGGTCACATAATTTGTTAGAAGGAACAAGCCTGGTCCACAGGTCTCTACAGCCCTCCTGATCCTCTAATAGGGATGAATTACCTACTTCGGTATTCATTTCTACCAGCCCTTTTCTGCCCCCAAATCCTAATCACATAGCACCTTCTCACTGGTCTTGTGCCTTTGCCTTCTTCAATATTCCTTTAGAATGTACTCTGTGTCTCCCAATCCTACCTAGTCTACCTTCTGGAGCCATCCAACACTGCCTAGAGCTCACCACCCTCTCTGACTGCTTGATGCACTTGGCTATTATCAGATATTCAAATGTCTTTCTCAGATTTATTTTACAGGTGCTGGATCTAGCAACTGTTCACATGCTACATATATTTTACATTTCTCTGTCCTGGGGCCTTGCACATACTAAGCACTCCATCAATATTTGCTGATTGATACAAGGAACATGATAAATGTTGGTTTTCAAACAAGTGATAAGTGAGATCTGGACATCATCAATTATTTGAGCCTACTAACATGGCATGCTATCAGTTTATCAGATTTTGTACTGTCTAGTTATTAGAGTCTACTAACATGGCATACTAACAGGACATCAGATTTTGTACAACCTACTTACAACTAGCGATGCATGGGTAAGCCCTGAAGGAGTAAAGAAATAAGACCACATGAGAGTCTCATTCTTACCCTCTACCAGAAGTAACTTCATGTGTGTTAATCTCATCAATTCCATCTCCACTTCCCTTAGTGTTCTGAACTAAAGGAAGATCCCCCAGGAACCAATGCATAAGAGCATTATGAATTGGGGCAGGGTGAAGGAGGGATTTGCACCCTTGACACTCACATGGCTTCCTAACAGAAACAGAAACTCAAGAACCAGAATGGCACATTATCTGGTACCTCAGGATATACAGATGGTACTAAAATTCCAACAGTCCCCGTTTATACTTTGCTTGCTAGAAGCCACATTGGTGTGTGTTTGTTTGTCTTTAACTATACATGATTTGGGGGGAAGGGCGGTATTTGCTCTCATCCTGTCATTGAAAGATTATACAAATGCACAATACTACATCCATGGTAATTCTGCTTCTCAATTCCATAATGAAAAGAACACCTCATTCAACTTTAGCCTCCTCACCTACCCTCTTATCTTCTATCATGAGACTCTCCATAATCACACACTTGAACTTCAGGGCACAATTACTCAAGATAAGTGTCCCTGTAGAATAGGAAACTACCTCAGCCAGTTCCACAGCCTATGAAGTGTAGGACCTGCCAGAATGCCCTCAAAGCTTCCATCATCTTAAACAAAAATCCAACAACAGTGGAAAATAACCCACATTTTAAAATGCAGGCTCTTATTAGACATAGTTATTACTTTTACTCCAGTATCTATGAAACTAGAGCTGGACTGACATTTGTATAGTAACATAGTTCATTAGAAGTTAGGAGCCTCTTTCTTGGAAGAAAGCCCCAATTCAGGTACCCAGACTGGATAAAATCATGGGGGTAAATATGTCTAGTAACTCCCAAAGCATGCTGGTCCAAGGTCTACTAGCTACTACTCTACACTGGAATAGTGATAAGCCTCATGGGGCAAGCCAGTGTTTCTGGTTTCTCCTTGTATCATACCAGCAGCAACCTTGATGATATACAGTGACAATTATTTTTATTTCTAAACACAAAGCACAAAAATGCATATACTCAAGGTAACTCAGCATCTGTAAATGATTCTTAATATTTACAAACATACTCAACACACATCTCTATGCAGACTTATTATTTAGCTGCCTGTTTCCTAATAATTCTTGATGATAATTCAGTAAATCTTTCCAACTGGATACAATGGTAACATAAAAGGTTTTGCCTTAATGATCACTATACACTATATACATCCCACATATGTTCTGTCCATCCAATGTCAAAACCACATGATAACAAACAGCCTCTTGTCAAGAAACCTGACAGATATGATTTTTGGATTCCCCTGATATGTTTTCAATATGAAAATTGATTTGTTCACAAGTTTCCTCAAAATGTGGGCCTCTGAAGATGTGAACACTGTCATATTAGGAAACTGTTGTCCATGTGGAAAAGAGAATGGTCTTTGGAGGGGTTGGAGATTTTGAGCATTATAATGAAAAAATTTATATGTAAATATTAGCAGGTAACATTATAGTAGACCTGAAAGGGAAAATGAAAATAGAAGAGAAACAAGATGTAGGTTGACAGTGGTTGAGCCTGGGTGTTAGTTATACTGAGGTTCAATACACTGTCTGTCTACGTTTTGGATATACTTACATTTTCTACAAAATAATTTTCAAAAATCAGACCACACAGAGACATGGCATGACATTTAGATACGAAGGCAGGATAGCTGTCAGCTAACCAAGTAACCTGGGTCTTGAATGTAGAAAAGTAGTAGAAAAAAAAATTCGAGCAAGGGAAGAAATGGCAGTAATGATATATACATTTTGAATTTGATTTTTGTAAAAATTAAAAGTTTTTAAGTTCAAAACAAAGAAGAATGGACACATCTTCTCCCAAAAGTCAAATGTGAAGCTGTAAGAAAATCACAAGCCTACTCATCTAGTTACACAAGACAGTTTTTAAATTGCATGAAGTTATATCAATCTCTGCCTGGAGTTCAGAACCAACCACAGGAATCCAGAGGCCCCTCTTGCTCAGTGGGCCACAGAGCACAGAAGACAAGCACACAGGAAACACAACCACTTGTAACCAACTCTTTCAAGTACTTTCCTAAGCCAATCACAGATAGCAACAGTGCCCCAAATTCTAGGCCATGTTTTCGCTTACAATTCATGCTGCCATTTCGATCCTATTTTAAAGCAAGAGAGAAAGACAGAGGAAGAGGTCACAGTTCCCTAAACCCATCTACCTTGACACAGCTAAAGCTTTACTTAGAATCCTCCTAAGTGGTTAAGCCTCAACCCTCTTCATTTTAGCCAGTCATCACCATGCTAGAACCCAAGGGTAACTCAACCACTAATGGGAATTTCTTACCAACCACCACCATCACCCTCCCTTTCTCCCAATCACTGGTCACCACCCACCACCATTCATTCCATCACCACAGCCAAAAGCAGTTCACAGAAGAGCCTCTTTCCAAATATTAAGCCTGACACCCAAACACAGACACAGAAGCAGTAACCTAAGCCTGTGCAGTCACTGTATGTGCAATTTCAGCTTTCATTAACAAAGCTTGCACATCTGAAACAATGCCATAGTAACAGCAAAAAAAAATTAAATAAGCCAAAAGGGAAAAGTTTCATTCAGGAACCTCAAACCATCACATCAAGTGTAGGACAGGCTATAGACCAATTCCTCTTTTGGTTCTGTGCCTAAGAAAGCTGGACCCACTCTAAAGAATCTCAAGGCCTTCCTGTTGTGGTGGTGTTGGTGGTGGTGTGTGCTGGGGGTGGGGAAGCAGTAGGGGTAAGAAAGAAGGCAGCTAAATTTATGGAGGCCAATGACCAATGCCAGAATCAAATCAGATATGTTCAGCAAAGATAGTTTCCTGTGACCCCTGGACTGTCTCCTTCTGCTTCCCTCCTCCCAACAGCCTCCACCCACCCACCCACCCAGGAGCCTCTTAGCAGGCAGGAAAATGTGCATTTTAAAATCAAAGCTGCCTGCAGGTGCCTGAGCAATAAAGACACACATATACACACAAAGCCTATCACTTACAGAGAGAGAGAGAGAGAGAGAGAGAGAAATAGAGAGAGAGCGTGCACACACAAGAAAGGGGAAAGGGACAATTGGTGACAAGCCCTTCAGCTTCCAGCTAGGATTTTCTTTCCTCCCACCAGTCCTCCCTGGTGTCCCTTTTTCTGTCCTTCAACTAAATTGTTCCTGCACACACACACACGTGCATATGTATATATAGATATAGATAATATTATAATTAACCCTTTCTGCATTAGAGCCCCACGCAGAAAAATATTCCATCCTTTCGTCTTCTCTCCCCTCCTCCCTCCTTTCTCCCAACCAAGAGAAAACGCCCCCTTCCCCAGATTCACCAAAAAAAAAAAAAAGGTGGGGGTGGGGGTGGGTCAAAGAAACCACCAAACCCCATCAGCCTCTGGTCCCCAGGACACCGGGGCAAGGTATCTACTAGCCAGACACACAGGGACATATGGCTCGGGAGAAAGCACACACAGATCCGTCCACAAGCGCCCCAAACCAGCAAAGAGACTTCCACCAGCGAAGAAGCCATGATTGGGGAGGGAGAGGAGGAAGGAGTAGGGGGCAGAGCTCTCGCCTGAGAGGGGGGCGCATTGTTGTGATGCCCGAACCCCTTTTTCTGCCCATCTGCTGCGGAAGGGGTGCTCGGAAGGGGCGCGGGGAGAGGCCAGCGACCAGGCACGGCTCGGCGAGTCCCTCCTGCCGCCTGCCTGCCCGCGCCCCCAGCTCCCCTCCAACAATAAGACCTCAGCCGAGACAGACACACAGACAAGACAGACGGCCCCGCGCGCGGCGGCGAGGGAGGATGGGGCGCAGGGCACGGCGGAGCGGGGTCGTGCGTGGAGGGGAGGCGGGGGGCGGGGAGGGCAGGGAGGGCGGGCAGGGGGTTCCCCCTTACCTCCAGCGCTTCAAAAGTGACAAAGCTGGTCATGGCAAATCCATCAATGATGTCCTCTTCGGCCGAGGTGGACTCCCTCCGCTTCCTCCGCGGGGGTCTGGGCCGGGACGGGGCGGAGGACGGGGGCTTTCCATTGTCTTCCTTGTCGGAGCCCGACGAGGAGGCGAGCGAGGGCGCCC